GCACGGTCCTTATCCCTGTATCTAGACTGAAAGGTACCACAAATGCATCCATAAGGACTGTATGTTCTAGTCTGGTCTGCTGAGGACTGTAGTGCCACATCCTTATCGCCCAATCTCTATCCTGCAGGACAGCATCATCTACCTTGGACATCGGTCGTCTGTTGCAGGCCTTGAGCCCACGGCAACCAAAGTTGAGGTCATCTGCAAGCAACCATCCACGAAGTTGTGCTCCGGAGGACTTGAACTCGTGACCTGTTCATCAACAATTCCCTGTGCATTTCCATTCCGCCGGTGAGGGCGGGTGCCACTTGTCGGATTCCTGCACTTCTGCCAGTCCATCTGAGCATCTGCGATACCTGAATAAGTGGGCCCTTGCCACAGAAGATAACTCTCTCGACTATGACGGGGGAATAAGGCTTGCGGTCCGCATTGGATTATCGGAGGGACACATCGAAGCTGAATGCAGTTACACATATGGGCCGCATGCAGTCACAAATATGAGACGCATGTGGTCGCATAATGGTCTCCAGCAGTATCTACAGCTGGTGGCGTTGACACTGATCACAGATATGTTCGTTTCTGTGGTCGCATCAATGGACAATGTTGGGAGATGGGTGTGCTTGCCCTATGTCGTACGCCTTATCTTATCGATCAATACCTTTTTCTTTATACAACAAGTGGACCTGTGGCGGCGACGCCGCGGACTAGCACACGGGCACGAGGCAAACAGGTGGAGTCGACATCCTGAGCATGGAGCACAGAAAAGTCAATGTAGAATTGCAGCGTGGCATAAAAGAAGCAATGTGACCGAAATGTAAGAAGAGCAGTGAAGAGCAATGCAGATCAGATGGCTCGATCACACGCAAAACTCAAAATATAGAATTGCATGGAAAAGTCATGTAGATGGTGTGTCAAATCCATTCCCACAATCAGTAGGGAAAAAAAAAAAAAAAAAAAAAAAAAAAAAAAAAAAAAAAAAAGCAGCGAATTCATAGAAGAAAATGATGATTCTAAACCAGTCATGCAGTCAATGACTGCATCACCAAATTTGGCATTTAAGGGATAAATAAATAAACGGTTTGTATTTTGTCCTTTCATACACAACAAAAATCCTTTCACCTCCTTCCTGAACCCAGCCCAGTTTGTGCTTTGTCCTGCTTCGTCAGGATTGCAAAACTGCAGCACAGGAGACAGAGAGGCTGGCCCAAATAACCTTCTCCCTCTTGCTCCTCGTCACTTTTCCGTCGATTCTCCTTGGTCCTCCATCCATCTTCGTGGTCCCCTTCTCGTTCCTCCATTCCTCCTCTCTTTCATTGTGACTCACTAGTCCGTCTTGCTTAAAAAAAGCATAAGCCCTCTGGATGGCCCTTCTCCCTCGTCCTCCTTCCTTCTTCTGCCTCAATCCTTGCAGCGGGCCTTCATCTGCCCTGGCCTACAGCCAGGGCCTATTTGGCTATTTGCCAGTTCGGCCTGTGGGACCAGGCCGTGACCTGACCCCACAGGCCGTATATTGTTTCAGTCCAGTCCAGTCCCGCCCGGTACCACGGTCGGTACCAGGCCAGKCCAGTCCAGTCCAGTCAGTCCGCTGGGGGTATACCCCAGCTGCAGTCTGTTTT